GTAAGGCGAATTTACAAACTCCTACCCAAATATTCACTCTGAACGAAAATTCTAGTGAAAAGCATTCCAAAAGTTATATGAGATGTATTCACCCTATTTCTTTTAGGGTGATGAAGGAAACTCTGCTTATAAACGAAAAATGTCGTTGTTTCTATTTGACCTGTTCCTTAGCTTTTTTTTTCACCAGGAAGATTCCAATTACTAGCATTGCGTTATAGTCTAGACTTTAGCTTTAGACCAAAACCTTCTTACAAGCAGCAATCGTGTTTTGTTGCTTTCTCTGGGAGAAGTGTTGGCAGAGGGGTCCAAGAAAAGAAGTTAAAATTTAAAATCTCCAAAATAAATCAATCAAATAATTAGCTTATATAAATATCTACTGGATAAGTAAATAAATCAATATTATTTAGCGCATATATATACACATATGCTTAAATTTATTGGTATAAACAATAAAAACAAGATTTTCGAAGTAAACGTATACCAGTATATCAAACGCTGATGTAAACTGCTTGGATGTTCGGGCAGAGAAAGCTGTTGTCGTACTATGTGATATGGATAGAGAGTGTCGATGGGGAACTCGACGAAGACGGGTCCTGATACAATACAAAATCAAATATTATAGGTCATATAGTTGTCGTAAGGTAAAAATATTATATTAGCAACGAGAAGAGCAGTTAAAGTAAAACATCTTTTATTTGAGGTTAGGAATATAAGTCATATCGACTGTTTTCATAATTACGTATTCATAGATCAGTTGTTGTAGCCTTGTTCAATAAGCCAAGGTGACAAGCGGTTTGAATAAAAAATAGAACATAAGTTTAACCTTGTCTTAGCTTATCCGAAAAGAAACTTCTACGAATATACAAATAACAAAATATTACAGCTCTTATATAGAAGAAAAAATATTAAGATGGGGATGTTAATCATTACCTGCCGATTATTTAGAAAAAGTGACCTGGTATGTGGCAAGAGCTAGCAGATTTGGGGTTTGTAGTTAGAGAAGAAGGAAAAAATGAGGTTGAGAAGCGATATATATTTAAAATATTAGGGTCGCTTACGTTAGCTCGATAAAGTGATATTGATTAACAATCAACTAAGTCTGTGGAAAATAAAAAATAAGTTATTGGTAAGAATAAATAGTTTATCATAAACGAATGAAACGGACGGGCATAATCTGATTTCTTGACTGCCCCTTAGTGATAAGCAGGTATTGAGTATAAATCGAAAAATCAAGCAGGTCGAGTTTTACAAAAATGAATTACGCAAAACTCAACATTCGATTATATCAGTGATTACTAAACTGTGCGCCGCGAAATATTGTAAAAGCTTTAATTTAAGAAAATGTGTAGTGATTAACAGGCTCGTTTATCAAAGTAATTAATAAATATTAATTTAATTTTAATAAAGTAAAAAAAATAATGAAGATACACGAGCTTTATTTATTTTATCTCTTATTTACGAATAATCATACTTAGGGAAGGGCGCCATGGAAAAATTTTAATCGAAAAGGGGCGCCGCGACTAGGAAAAGTTTGGGAACCACTGGATTAGATGTTGTTTGACCTTGTTTTCGCAACTTAGTCATATTGATGGGAAGACTTAGAGGAATGCACCTAGTCCGGAGTCCATTGTATGTATGATAATTTCCAGTCGGACCGTGGACGTGGTACATTCACAGACGTTTCACCGACATCGTAGTCGGCATTGTCAGTGAGTCTTGCCACTCTTGGTAACATAAAATAACTAGTCAGAGAGACACATGAAGCCGATCCTTTGACCAAATGTGCGATAGACAGTTATGGTATCTCCTGTTGTCCTGGGCTATTCGCCGCTCCTATATATTCCTATCACTATTTTATGTCAATCACCGGCTTAATACACCCTTTCTATTCAGTATTAAAGTAACCTTTCTGAAAGTATATTAAGAGTCTACAGAATAGAGATGACAAATAATGAGACCAACTTTCGATCGATGCTTTAATGTATCCCGGATGAGAAAGCCTTTGGGGAGGCAAGGCTAAATAAAATTCGATAGTATCGTGAGACCTAGTTATTTGTAATGAATCTAAAATATTCACTATAAATGTGTGCTCGCCTTCGCGGTACTGTATAGAATACCCCAGCCTTGCATAGAAAAAGAAGAAAACGGAGTTCCTTGTATATAAGAAGGAAAGTTATAGGCGAAGATCTCATTGTGGGATAAACTCAGATGATGGTGGAATGTGGTGTTGGAGCAAAAGGGCAGTGTTCAGTGAAAAAGGGTAACGAGAGGATTTCTGATTTGAAAATAGTCTAGTGTACTTTTAGTGCCCCGTTCTGAGTGATTCAAAGGAGAGGCTAAATGCGGTAACTAGGTTCGCCTAGTTCCCGTCAGATGGTCCATATTGATGGGTCAGATTCCTGATAGCTGCTAGCAGTATGGTCAAGTAATTAGTAAACTCAAAGCAAAAAGGATTAAATAGATCGTAGATATGAAGACCAAAATGATGTCGCCTTCAGTTTGGTCACAATATCCTTAAGCTTTATAGTGCTAGTTCCACCTTATTCGGATCGTCTGGGAGACCTTGTGGAACTTAACTAGTCCCGTGTCCTCTGCCATATTATTTGTAATTACCAGCATCAGACTATTGGCTGGATAGATTCTCAAATATTTCGCCGGCATCATCAGTGAGAGGCATCATCGTAATAACAGAATTATAACTTATAAAACTGATAAGTTAAAGCAATGCCCTTGACTAATTTTTTATTCCGTTGTGGCAGGACTCTTCACTTCTATTTTTTGTTCTAACTTATAGTGCCGTGTTTCTTACCCTCAACCCCACTTAATATGGCTTATCCACTTATTCACACAATTATGTGCTCTCAATTCCTCCAAATTCGCCTAAGATGGTGCCGTTTAAAGTGGGTTTATTAAAGCGTAATCATCTCCACCATCGGTACCAGGTGCTGTTTGCAGGGCTCCTGGCCTACATTCTGCCCCTTTTTTTCCTGCCCGCTTGTCAACTGGTCGCTTCCGCACATCAAAATTACTGTTTGATTGTCTGAAATCTGGTTGCCGAATAAACTTCAATTGTCATATTCGAGGAGTTATAACGAATGATCTCCATGCCAGTGCCTGTGAATATTCCCCTCCCTAAGCTCCAAACCCATGATTCAGTTATCCTCTCCTTCATCCCCACTCACATGGTGCCTTATTCTTTGGAGCACTGTGTCCAGCTTAAGTGATAACCACTGGTGTGAAAATGCACCCCTCCTTCTTTGACTTCCGGTGAGGCCAACTTATACATCCATTCCACTCACCTGTTTAAACGAAATGAAAGGTAATCCAGCATACAACAATAGAGATGTGATGCTATTTAAGCTTATTTTTTTTGCAAAATTACATTAATTAATTAATTATATATATATATATAATAAAAACAGCTTAATATGCGAACAAATTGCTAGGTGTAAATTGGCATTGCATGAAAGTAAAATTTCAAAACGTAGCGTAAAATGATTGTAAAATAAAATGAAATGTAAGGGAGATTGAGATTAAAATGATTGCACAACTGAATATAAGATTAAGTATGACTAAGTGAGATTATATTCATATGGACGAATGAAGTTATCGGAACTTCGATCAGGGAGCCTATAAGACAAAGTTTCAACCATTTTTATTATTTGAGCTTAAATGATGTTTTGAAAAATATACAGGCACAGGTGAGTAATAAAGATAAAGGAAACCCAGTGAAAGTAACACATTGAGTGTAAGAAAAATAATCAGTCAAACCAAGATACCAATACAAAAATAAAATCGACTTACAGCACTTAAACGATGCCATATGGTAGGTATAAAAAAATGGAATTCAATATCTATCAGCAAAAGGAAATGACATAAAAAGTGAGCAAAACGATTTGAAGTGGACCAACCTGGCGTATCCGAAGCTGCTTCAAAGAAAGCCTTGGTTAAAACAGGGATTATATCACGAACACAATTAACGCGTGCAGAATATTTGCAAACAGATTGAAACAACGATAATTGATCAATATCTTGCAAAGAACCACGGCCTTTGAGAAGGCTGGATGCAGCTCCACCAATGAGAACAATGGGTGTCTCAGCCATCTGAGCATTTTTTACCGCCGTAACTGTATTAGTTATTCCAGGACCTAATTGCAATAAATAATAGAACGAATAGACAACAAAGATAACTGTCAAAAATAGCTGACCATTATGAAATTGTGGTCGTAACATGAAGATGACCAGTGTAGGCAAAAAACATAATGTTTATGCGTGAATATACCTGCCGTTACCGCGGCGACACCAACGGTTCCTGAGAGGCGAGACACCGCGTCTGCAGCGAAAACAGCAGAAGCTTCGTGCCTTACGTCAATAACACGAATATTCTTTTTTTCACTTGCTACTAGAATTGGAGAAATGTGACCACCGCACAGTGTAAAAAGGTATTTAACGCCATGCGCCTATAGATAATATTATTTAATTTGTATAATGAGAGATAAATACAGATAAAACTTCAGCTACTAATTCGCCTCCATGATGAGTAGAATTTTCATCAACCTAGAAAAGTTAGAATAAAGCCTAAATAACCTTAAGGTGCAATCCATAGAAGCGCAATAATTTAAAAACAATAGCTGTCGCAAGTACGATGATCACCCCAGCAAGTACATCTAAACGGAGCTGGGCTAAAATCATTGGCATATAAGAGTACCGAAAAAGCGCGGTTTGCAAGACAGGTTAAAACACATTATTCAAAAAAGGTCACATTTAAATGCAATTTTAATTATAGTTAAACCTTTTACAAGTTAATCTGTACTATTTAATTTATTATAATGCTAACTTTTGCTTTTTCTAAGGTTGCGATGATATTTTAGGCTGGTTTATCGGACTACATATTATTTTAGATGTATTCACCATATTTTGTTTAAGGTGATGAAGAACTGGTAGCGAAATCTTCCCACAATTATATGAATAGAGCTGACGTTTCCATTTAATTTCACATTGCAAGCTTTCCCAATCCGAGGTCGAAACTGCAGTCCACCCTGAATGAGAACAACTTTGCAAAAGTAAGGCAATGTGCAATTCATTAGAAATGTCAGCTCTACTCATATCATTGTGAATAAATTTTACTATCAGTCCTTCATCACCTTAAACGAAATAGGGCGAATACATCTCATATTACTGATTTAATGGTAGTCTCGAACCGCTACTTGAATACGAAAAATAAGTAACATAGTCGATTGTTTTGGTAAATATAAGTTTGATTCCTCGACAATCCCATCAAAGAATATGATATGGCAAAAGGTCTGGCCTTTCTTGAAATTCACATCTGCCCTGTGACCAAAGGGCACTCTTGACAATGTAGTCGAGTGGTTAACGTGTCAAGCTCCCATTCTGCACTGTCACGATTCCACTCCCACTGGGGATGTTGATAAGACTGATGCGAGGTCGAAACTGCAGTCTACCCTAAATAATAACCACTTTTGGGAAAGCAAGACAATGTGAAGTTTAATGAAAACGTCAGCTCTACTCATATCATTGTGGGAAAATTATACTACCAGTCCTCCATCACCTTAAACGAAATAGAGTGAATAAATCTCATATTGCTTATTCACTGGTAGTCTCGAAACTCTCCTCAAATACGAAAAATACATATTAATTATTTCGTATAAGCATACCAAAATTACTATTCTTCATTTAATTTTTTCATAAATGTACTCTTAGTGTAT